AAAAAAAAATGTGAGTTGGTAATATGCATACTTATATTTGATATGTAATAATGATTTTTAAATAATTTAAGTAATTTTATTATATTTATTTGTTTTAAAAAGAAATATAGTCTATTATTAGGTTAGTGTAAAATAATGATTAATAATGTCGTTTTTTGACGTATTTTTAACGTCAAAAACGACATTCTTACGTCATTATTTTTGCACCAACCTATTAATTAAGAGTAAAAATAATATTTTAATATTGTAGTTCAATATAACGTATTCTAACGCAAACACCCCTTTTAGAAAGAATCTTTATGTAGACAAGTAAGAATTTAACGGAAAAAAATGCCGAAAAACTTTTTCTCGTAGATAAAAGAACCCCCCAAAAACCCCAAAAAACAAAAAAAAAAAACAAAACGGACGACATGCGTTGAACGGATGTCAAAATTCATTGAAAAATACACCCCTACCCTCCCTAAAGTTAACCTCTTTTTCGAACGTAACTCATAATTGATACAACAATAGTTAATAAAAATGAACACGCTACCGCCCCTGTCTGAATGATTGGATTTCTCTGGATCCTTGGAAACAAAAAATTATGAATTGTATGTGCATTTAAAACTCAGTAGATCTAAAAATAAGTTATTCCAAAATTTGTTTGAAGTTGAAATAGAACTAATGCTTTTAATTTAATTATATAATGAAATTTGAAGTTTTTAGTTTCGGTTTTTAAAACATGGTAATTCCTGTGTAGCGAAGAAACCATATTTTAAATCAGTTAATTTATAATCACACTTATTATAGAACCCAGGTTGTGTGTGTGTGTCTATGTGTGTGTGTGTCTGTACGTTTATATATTGGATCGGATTCCCTACATTTTTCAACTGATTTCAATAAAACTTCACAGGACTACGTAAAATTACCTTGCGGTGGTTCTGACAGCGCCAAAAATTGGAAAAACACAATTGTTTTTGCACGAAATCAATTTGAAAATACGATTAAGAGGCATCGCGAAAATGAAAGGGGGACAACTCATATCGAGTTATACTTATTATAAAACCCAGGTTGTTTGTGTGTGTGTGTTCCTTTATATATGGGATCGGATTTCCTACATTTTTCAACCGATTTCAACAAAACTTCACTTTTTTTTTGGCAGGTAGTGTTTGTTATTGTCTTGCACACTTTTTTCTTTATTTTTACATTCAGAATGCTTTAAAAATTCCATTTACAAAACAATTGTTTATAATAAAATTCTATTCAACCGGTAGATTCATAACGATTGAAAACAATGTTTTTGCTTGAGTTTGGGTTTGACCAATTCGTAAAAAAAAACCCCAAAAAACAAAACAAAAAAAAAAAAAAAACTAATTAAGACATGCGTGTCCATCAACCTTAAACAATAATCTTTGTCAATTTTTTTTTTCAGTCTTTATGATGGTCGATACTTGATCTATCTCTTACTGTTACATCCCCGGGCAACGCCGGGTTCTACTGCTCGTATATATATATATATATATATATATATATATATATATATATATATATATATATATTAACGAAAATCTTGGTAATCCGTATGGATAATCCCAAGGAGGATGAAATCCGGAGAATTCAATGTTAAGTCAGAACGAATAATAAAATCTCTGGTGAAATGAATTATAACTAATGGAACCTAAAAGTGGTCTGTTTTTTTTTAAATATATATATATATATATATATATATATATATATATATATATATATGAACAAAAGGTTATACCAAGGAATTAATATATGGACTTAAAAATGACGGATCGCATCCCTCTAAAGGAACCTTTTTCGATCCAACACTTCAGAAAGATTTATTGGATTCTTGTTGCAATAATCGTGCTATAAAGATTCATTGATTTCTTGTTGTAATAATCTTGTTGTAAAGATTTATTGGATTATTGTTGTAATAATCAAAATGGTAACACTGAAAAAGTTGAACACAGGAGTTAAAGAAAGGGCCACGACAAAAATAAATTAATTACTAAAAGAACCAATCAATGTAAATAAGCTCCTAGTGAATGTAAAACGGAACGAAGAAAGTTCTCCTCTCTGCACAAAGTCGGTCGATGAAACTTGATGTAAACCGCTTCTAAAAACCCGTAAATGTTTAACCGACTGAGCCTCATGCTGCACCCTGAATGTTTTTTAAAAATATTCCGAAGCGAAATCCGGCCTATCAATTAAATGATTGATTGTTGTTATTCCAACGAATCTTTCTGAAGAAGTGTTTGACGAAAAAGGTTCCTTTAAAAGATTGCGCTCCATCATTTTTAAAACCACCACCAACACCAACACACACACACACACACACACACACACACACACACACACACACACACACACATATATATATATATAAATATATCATAAAGAAGTAATTTATACAAAGAATCAATTAGCAATCTTAATGTGACTAATGACGAAATCACTTCGCTAACAAGACTTAATGAGACATTAACTTACTATCAATTCCTTGAATAATACGATCCTTATATTTGAGTTGTGGTCAGATGGAATTGACGAGCCAAGTACTTTCAACAATTTCAAATTGTCTTCTTCAGGGCGCGATTTTTCTATTTGCAGGCAAACCACCAAGACGAAATATACACTACAACCTTCTTTCGCGCATCTTTCATTGAAAACGGTCGACAAGGAAGATGAAATAAATCTTTTATTGAATTTTTCCAGCAATCTAACATTTTTGCCATTTTTCAGGCTTAAAGAATATAGGAATTATCTATAATTATAATTGTTCCGAACGCTTTCGGCTAATTCTCTAGCCATTATCGAGGGTGTGTTTTTGGATGGTGAAATTCTGCGTGTGGCTGCTACATAGTAATTTTACAGTGTGGAGTTTGAGCAGTTTGTGCGCTTCTTGGCGGTCACGTGTTATGTGCGGCCAGTTGACTTCTATTTTTAGAACACTTTTAACACTCCGTCTCCTCTGATATATATATATATATATATATATATATATATTTAGAGAGTATATTTTCATTTCAGTATGTTTGGTTAAATAATTTAGACGTATTATGTCTATTTAGTTTTAATCCTTTCAAGTCCGCCTATTAATTTCTTGGTGGCTGTAGAAAACTGATTAAGAAAAATTCCAAAATTTTCTTTCAAATAATTTTTATTTTCCCAAGTACTTTCAAGCTCATCTGAGACCATCTTCAGGGGTTGCATATCTAGGAACGTGTTATGCTTTAACACCGTAAATTAAAAATGTTTTTACCTCTATGCAAGGGAGGTAACTTATGTGATTTTTTAAAATATATAAATAAAAGTGAATATTGAAGTCAGCTGTCAGAGGCAACAAACTGTTTCATACTAAACGCAATCATCAGGCCACATGCGTTGTGTATTTTTCTCGACTATTTATATTTAGTGGTGTATTGTGGGTACTCTCTTGCATTCTGGGAAGTCTATTCTAACGGTTATTTTGGTGGAAGCGGTTTGTCAATTTATTTATCATTTATTTTATTTATTAGGATTAATTTATTTTACTTTTTTTTGCTTATTTATTTTATTTATTCTTTTCAGTTTTCGATTTTTAAGTAACGTCTTAATTTTTTTTCGCGTCTGTATTTTGAGATAGGTTTTTATCTTTTAGTTTGTTTAGTTTGTTTTGTTTTGAGAAGGTAATTATAGCTATTTTTCCTCCATGCAGAATTTGCAGTTTTTGGATTGATTGTTGTAGGCTGATGTTCTTTTCCTTATTTTCCATGATATTTTTGCTGTGATTTGCTTTTAATTTCCCAGATATATTTGGAAAGCATTGTGCTCGTTGCATATTTACTATTTGTGAAAGATGTTTTGTGTGCGTAGTTTCTTTGTTTCCAGCGACCTTCAGTTACTTAATGCACCACTGACTCGTATATAGAAATAGTTGAGAAAAAAACACAACGCATGTGGCCTGATGATTACGTTTAGCATGACATAGTCTGTCGCCTCTGAGTGTTGACTTCAATGTTAACTTTTATATTTACATACTCCCCAGCTCTGATATTGAGCACTTTATTCCATAAATATAGCGCACCTAAAAACTATATTTCTTCATATAATACGTTAGAATTTCCCTTTCTCAGCTGCGCGCCGATAGCTTAGGGGTAGCGTCTCCGACTGATGCCACACTGATGAGCTAATGAAACAATTGTTCATTCATGAGGATCAAAAAATGGAGAAATACCGCTACACGAGATAGGCGATCATGGCTCTCCACAACATCCCATGTCTTGAATGGACGGGACTCAGAAGAGGAAGCCTTTTAATTATAAAGGCTCTAATAAAACAATCACTCATCCATAAAAATCAACAAAATTAAAAATTATTAACAAAATAGTTTTTTTTTAATTGAAAAGCCGGGTTTGAGAATTAGTTATATTTATTAAGTAAGGACAAGTTGGGTAAGATATAAGACACATGATGCGAATCACATTGATTTGTTATACTGTTCTTGGCAATATTTACACACACACACACACAATTTTATATATTAATTTTCAGTGTTTAGAGTATACAGACAAACTTTGAGTTTTATATATTAGATAAGACATAAAACAGATTCACTCGTTTTCTAGGGCTTATCAAACTTCTGCAGGTTATTTAATGCGAGGTGGTGTAATGGTTAGCAAGCTTGTCTCGCTAGAACTATTACGACTGAGTAGTGAGTTCGATCATCACTGGGTGCCCCCTACTTTCGGCCTTGTGCCACATCTAAGCTATGCTTGGTAAATCACTATTTAACGCGTGAAAATATTTTTTTTTATTGTAAGGATTATTTTTTCTGAGATCGTAATGGTTTCGGGTTACAAGTCTTACTAATTTAACCTATAGGTAGCGGGGGAAAAGGTGGATTCATGCCTTTTCCCAAAAGTACTTGCCTGTAACTTTAAGTGAATGCGAGGAACTCAATTAGAATTGGAACGCGGTTCTCCAATTACCAATTCCGAGCCATTATCCATTACACCACCCGCACACACAAGCTTACAGCACGTGGTATTTCGAAGCGGTCACCCATCTAGGTACTGATCAGCTTTAATGTTGCTTAACTTCGGTGATCGTAGGGGAACCGATGCAACGTGTTATGGCCGTTAGCGAGTCAAGGTTAGATAATTCCTGCAATATTAACGCTGTTTCTATGTGATATAGTCGTAAATTTAGATAAATTTTAATGGACTACAAGTTTGATTTTCACCGAATAGAAGCCGGCAGTTTATTTTTCGGGGAGTCAGATTTTGAAAAAAACAACAACAAAAAAACAAAAACAAACAAAAACAAAGCAAAATGCGTTATATATTTGTGAACAAGACACCATTCCAGGTTATTAAGTCCTAACATGGGCAAAAGAGAAGAGAATAGGTTCGCATCTTTCCAAGGCCATTCCTGTGAAAACGAACGGGCTGGTTCTCGGCCGGAACTTGGACCCGACACGCCAATCCTACGTCCATAGCCGGTACGCTACGCGCAACTCGATATTGACATAGATAGACAGACAGGAAAAGGAGGAGAGAGAAAGAAAGAGATAGAGAGACAGATAGGAAAAAGAGAGACTGACAAATAGAGAGACAGACAGACATATCATCATCATCTCATGGCCTCAGCCGAGATTGAACTCACTAATACTTTGATTGGTGTAGTTCATAATCTTGTCAAATAGCTGAATTCTTGATACTTCGCTAGGGCTATCAAGGGTGTTTTTTATAGTGACACCATCACTAAATGCTTAGAGAGACTCCATTCACCCTCCTCTAAGAGCAGGTTTTGAATTCAGAGTTTTCCTTCTCCTAGACCAGTTGCCATCCAAGGCTATAGAACCCAGTCTGTCCTGCTATTTACCCATAGCTGGAGGAAGAAGAAAGAGGATTCACACCTTTCCCAAGGGTGTTAGCACGTAAGTGAAAGTAATGGATTCGACTTGAATTCGAACTCGGCTCTCCGATTCCTCAATCCAAGCCGCTATCCATTACTCCACCGTGCCTTCTGACATATAGGAAAAGGAGAGAAAAACAGATAGGAAAAGGAGGAGAGAGAAAGAAAGAGATAGAGAGACAGATAGGAAAAGGAGAGAGAGACAGATAGACAGATGGGAGAAGGGGGGGAGAGAGAGACTGATGGGAAAAGGGAAGGGAGAGAGAGAGAGAAAGAGACAGACAGATAGGAAATTGGGAGAGAGAGAAAGAGACAGACAGATAGATAGGAAGAGTGAGAGAGAGAAAGAGACAGATAGACAGATAGGAAAAGAAGAGAGAGAGAGAGAGAGAGAGAGAAAGAGACAGACAGACAGACAGATAGGAAAGAGAGAGAGAGAGAGATAGGAAAAGGGAAGAGAGGGAGAATGGACAGACAGACAGACAGATAGTAAAAGGAGAGAGAGAAAGAAAGCGAAACAGATAAGAAAAGGAGAGAGAGAGAGAGAGACGTGTAAGAAAAAGAGAGAGACAGACAGATAGAAAAAGGAGAGAGAGAGAAGAAGATAGACAGACAGATAGGAAAAGGGGAGAGAGAAAAAGAAAGATACAGACACATTGCAAAAGGAGAGTGAAAAAGAGAGAGAGAGAAAGAGAGAGAGAGAGAGAACAATTCTTGATGAATATACGATTAATGGTAAGAAATGAAAAGAACTAGATTGATTGATTAGCATCGGTATCATTTGAATTGTTTCTTTTTTTACGGTTTATCAACCGTTTGTGGTTTATTCAAACCCGAAACATATTTTTTGTGTGGGATGATTGTCGGAATAATTATTCCTTCTGACCAGTGGAATGCGTAGATACCAAACCTGACCCCAAGTTTGACTTACACCGAATACATACCAAGAGTCATATTTTGAAGAAAAAAAAAACAAAAAAAAACAACAACAAAAAACAACAACAAAAAAACCCAAAGACGAACAAAGAACGCGTATCCGATATACGAGGAAATGCGCCATATATTTGTGAACAAAAACATGCTGATATTTATTTAGATTCGTTATGTTGAATTCTTGTTCATTTTTTCCCGTCTTTGCCGGTTGTGTAAGGGTAACTTGATATCGGTAAACACATACCTATTCGTCGTCATACCTTTACTGACATCCGATATTGATTATGGCAAGGATCTGTCACTTACATTACCTGCCTACAATCACGTGTCGGTAATCATTTTTCTAACCTATACAACTACGACCAATGCTACGGTAACCTTTTGGCGTAGAACCCCTATCTCTGTCCGGTTTAAATTTCAATAAAACTCATCCCCATCAATATATATATATATATATATATATATATATATATATATAGCAAACGTTTGATGCCACCTCAGGATTACGAAGAATCGCATTAAAAGTGAATGTTGCGTGCCTTCTGGCTAAACTAATTAATTAACCCATTTCGTGACAGAGACACCGTATATTCACGATTGCTTTTATCATATATTCAGTAACTAGCATCATGGCCCGGCGTTGCCTGTGCTTGATTCAAAAATCGTACGACTTATACAGCAATCGCTGTCACTTGACTTAAAATAATTTTGCCCTTCCTTGCCTTTAAAGGAGTGACTTTTGCCATGCTGATGTTGCTACATGCCAGTTCTGCGGAATCAGAATCAACGTTGAGTTTAAGCAAGCGAATGAGCCAATTGGAGTAAAGTGCCATGCAGATTTAAATTTTACCCACTTGTGACGAATGCAGCTATCGATTTTTTTTTGCATGCTAGTTAACATTCGTGTCAGTCAGCTGTTGGCTCTCACGCTGGCTAATAGAATCTTCCTGCCTATTCGTGGCAGCCAGCTATAGGCTCTCACTCTGGCCAGTAGAAAATGGCAGAAAACTACATGAAAAGTGCCGCAGAAGCATGAAAAAATCGATGTAAGCGCCAATTGCATTTTCCATTCTTTCTTTTTTTTCTTTCTTTCATTATCTCACTGAAACCAAGTAGTGTCTTTGATATATCCTATTTATCCTATTTTAAAACACACATAGAAAACGGAACAGCCATTTTAGGTCTAACCTAAAATGAAATGTGGCAGAAGGAATCGATCAAGGCTGGAAAATGGGGATTGTGCAGCTCCAGACCAGATATGGCAGCGATCCTCCATTTTTGGTCTGATCTGATTCTTGTCAAGATGAAGCATATCAGAAGAACTCGGAAAAGGATTCTATCAAGGCTGGAAATTGAGGATTGTGCAGCTCCAGACCAGATATGGCAGCGATACTCCGTTTTTGATCTGATCTGACTTATGTCAACATGAGGAATGGCAGAAGGATTCTATCAAGGCTGCAAAATGAGGATTGTGCAGCTCCAGATCAGATATGGCAGCGATACTCCATTTTTGATCTGATCTGACTTTTCAAGATGAAGAATGGCAGAAAGATTCTATCAAGACTGGAAAGTGTGGATTGTGCAGCTCCAGACCAGATATGGCAGCGATACTCCATTTTGATCTGATCTGACTTTTTTAAGATGAAGAATCGGAGAAGGATTCTATCAAGGCTGGAAATTGGGGATTGTGCAGCTCCAGACCAGATATGGCAGCGATACTCCATTTTTGATCTAATCTGACTCTTTTAAGATGAAGCATCGGAAAAGGATTCTATATCAAGGCTGGAAATATGGGGATTTTTGATCTGCAGCTTATGTCACCAGATATGGCAGAAGGATCAAGGCTGCAAAATGAGGATTGTTCCAGATCAGATCTAATCCATTTTTGATCTAATCTGACTTTTTTTAAGATGAAGCATTGGAAAAAGATTCTATCAAGGCTGGAAATTGGGGATTGTGCAGCTCCAGACCAGATATGGCAGCGATACTCCATTTTTGATCTGATCTGACTTATGTCAACATGAGGAATGGCAGAAGGATTCTATCAAGGCTGCAAAATGAGGATTGTGCAGCTCCAGATCAGATATGGCAGCGATACTCCATTTTTGATCTAATCTGACTCTTTTTAAGATGAAGCATCGGAAAAGGATTCTATCAAGGCTGGAAATTGAGGATTGTGCAGCTCCAGACCAGATATGGCAGCGATACTCCATTTTTGATCTAATCTGACTCTTTTTAAGATGAAGCATCGGAAAAGGATTCTATCAAGGCTGGAAATTGGGGATTGTGCAGCTCCAGACCAGATATGGCAGCGATACTCAATTTTTGATCTAATCTGACTCTTTTTAAGATGAAGCATCGGAAAAGGATTCTATCAAGGCCGGAAATTGAGGATTGTGCTGCTCCAGACCAGATATGGCAGCGATACTACATTTTTGATCTGATCTGACTCTTTTTAAGATGAAGCATCGGAAAAGGATTCTATCAGGGCTGGAAATTGAGGATTGTGCAGCTCCAGACCAGATATGGAAGCGATACTATCATTTTCGGTCGGATATGACTCTTGTGAAGATGAATCATGAGAAAAGAATTCTATCAAGTCTGGAAATTGAGGATTATGCAGCTCCAGACCAGATATGGCAGCGATACTCCATTTTTGATCTGATCTGACTATTTTTAAGATGAAGCATGGGTAAAGGATTCTATCAAGGTTGGAAATTGACATTGTGCAGCTCCAGACCAGATATGGCAGCGATACAACATTTTCGGTCGGATCTGACTCTTGTCAAGATGAATCATGTGAAAAGGATTCTATCTAGAATTGAAAGTGAGGATTGTGCAGCTCCAGACCAGATATGGCAGCGATACTCCATTTCTGATCTGATCTGACTCTTGTCAAGATGAAGAATGGCAGAAGGAGTCTATCAAGTCTGGAAAGTGAGGATTATGCAGCTCCAGACCAGTTATGGCAGCGATACTACATTTTTGATCTGATCTGACTATTTTTAAGATGAAGCATCGGAAAAGGATTCTATCAGGGCTGGAAATTGAGGATTGTGCACCTAAAGACCAGATATGGAAGCGATACTCCATTTTCGGTCGGATCTGTCTCTTGTCAAGATGAATCATGTGAAAAGGATTCTATCAAGAATTGAAAGTGAGGATTGTGCAGCTCCAGACCAGATATGGCAGCGATACTCCATTTTTGATCTGATCTGACTCTTGTCAAGATGAAGAATGGCAGAAGGATTCTATCAAGTCTGGAAATTGAGGATTATGCACCTCGAGACCAGATATGGCAGCGATACTCAATTTTTGGTCTAATCTGACTCTTTTTAAGATGAAGCATGGGAAAAGGATTCTATCAAGGTTGGAAATTGACATTGTGCAGCTCCAGACCAGATATGGCAGCGATACTCCATTTTCGGTTGGATCTGACTATTGTCAAGATGAATCATGTGAAAAGGATTCTATCAAGTCTGGGAATTGAGGATTGTGCAGCTCCAGACCAGATATGGCAGCGATACTCCATTTTTGATCTAATCTGACTATTTTAGAGATGAAGCATCGGAAAAGGATTCTATCAAGAATGGAAAGATATGGAGGATTTTGATCTAATCTGACTCTGTTTAAGATCCGGAAAAGACCAGATATGGTAGACAGACAGATAGGAAAAGATACTCCATTTTTGATCTGATCTGACTGTTGTCAAGATGAAGAATGGCAGAAGGATTCTATCAAGACTGGAAATTGAGGATTGTGCTCCAGAGCTCCAGACCAGATATCGGTCGGATCTGACTTTGTCAAGATGAATCATGAAAAATTTTTTGGTCTAATCTGACCAGACAGCGATACTACATTTTTGATCTGATCTGACTCTTTTTAAGATGAAGCATCGGAAAAGGATTCTATCTGAAATTGAGGAAGTCCAGACCAGATATGGAAATTTTTGATTCTATCAAGTCTGGGAATTGAGGATTGTGCAGCTCCAGACCAGATATGGCAGCGATACTCCATTTTGATCTAATCTGATCTGATTCTATCTTGCAGTCAAGATGAAGAATGGAAAAGATACTCCAGAAGGATTCAAGATATCAAGTCTGGAAATGGAAATTGAGGTGCAGCTCCAGACCAGATATGGCAGCGATACTCCACTTTTTTTTTCGGAAAAGGATCTGACTCTTGTCAAGATGACCAGATATGAAAAGGATTCAAGATGAAGTCTGGGAATTGAGGATTGTGCTGCTCCAGACCAGATATGGCAGCGATACTCCATTTTCGGTCGGATCTGACTCTTGTCAAGATGAATCATGTGAAAAGGATTCTATCAAGTCTGGGAATTGAGGATTGTGCTGCTCCAGACCAGATATGGCAGCGATACTCCATTTTCGGTCGGATCTGACTCTTGTCAAGATGAATCATGTGAAAAGGATTCTATCAAGTCTGGGAATTGAGGATTGTGCAGCTCCAGACCAGATATGGCAGCGATACTCCATTTTCGGTCGGATCTGACTCTTGTCAAGATGAATCATGTGAAAAGGATTCTATCAAGTCTGGAAATTGAGGATTGTGCTGCTCCAGACCAGGATTTCGGTGCTGCTCCAGACCAGATAGGATTGGCAGCTCCAGACCAGATGGCAGCGATCCATTTTCGGTCGGGATCTTGTCAAGATGAATCTTGTCAAATGATCATGTCCAGACCAGAAAAGGACATTTTCGGTGACAAGATTTGTGAAAAGGACGAAATAAAATACATTAATTTTTTAAAAATTGCCTAAGTGAATGGAATTTGAAATCGGCTCTCAGATTTCTCCTTACGAGACGCTAACCATTAGACCA